ATACTTTAAAAAATAACATTTATGTTTTATTTTGTAAAAAATATGTTATTTATTTTATCTGAAATCGGACATTGGATCATTAAATCTGAAACCTCTAATGCTAATGTCTAATTTTTTTTAAGACTAATTAGGCCAAAATCAATAACTTATTGATCAGCAATTTTTTAATAATTATTATTTAAGCAACAGTTATATAAACGTATACTAACCCTTTTTTGACCCGGGTCAGCCCGATGATGACCCGTGACCCGCATGACCCATCAAATTTGCTGACCCGTACGGGTTGGCCCTACCTGGATAACATTTCTACTTCATGTAACCCAAAGTTGCACAGATGCCCCAGAGCTGCCTGTCTTGCTAGTGTGACCATAGTTACAGGTATCCTATCCCAACTGATCGATGAAAGATGGTTGCCATAACACAGGTAATTATTCGAATTTTCCATCCTCGGTAGGTTTCAAACTTTTGACCTGCCACTTGGTGAGGGTGATAACCTAACCACTACACTAGATTACCACACCTCTAATAATTTTTAATTTTATTTAAAAAAATTGTAAATACTTTTTAAAATTCTAGGCAAATTTGCCTGGAATATAGTTTAAGAGATAATAGTGATCAACTAGCAAAGTATTATAAAGTACAAATATAGAAACCAATAGTTGTTGTTGAAAATTATAAATTTCTAGAAGAAATTTTGTTAGATAGGGAGTAATACAAGAAAAATTTCTTGTAAATAAAATGCATAATCCCAAAAATATATATATAGCCAACTTAATATAGCCAACTTAGTAATTAGACTTGTCAAAAAAAATACCATCTGGATTTAGGGAACCTGGTATGTACAAATTTATTTGGCATGCCATGTGGCATGCCATTTCTAAAATTCGTGCCAGAGTGCCACCCTGGCATGCCACTACCTTGTACAACACTATTTTATATAATCAAATGCATGCATACCTATATGTACAATAGTTATGTTAGGCCACGCAAATTTAATTTATTGGTTCTCGTAACATAAATAGACCCCACCAGCCAGCTTTTTTTAATTTTATATATAACAATTTATAAAATTTTTTTTAAAAACTTACCCAGTTATTAAAATATTTAAAAAATTTTTTATACGTAAAAATTTTTAAAATTTGACTCAGCCAGGTTACGAGAACCAATTAATTAACTTTACATGGCCTTATAATTAAAAAGTTCTTATTTTGTACTTAAATCATATTTTGATAGCATTTATTGTAACAAAGCTGTTAAATAATTATAAGATATAGCTAAGAACAAATAATATATTTATATATTAACCCACCCTGTTATTTAATAAAAGCATTCAAAACCTATTTAACGAAAGTATTGTATGTATATAATAATAAACTAAATAATAATAATGTGAATGTTAAAGATTTACATAAGCATAACTGATATGTTATCAGTTACACAATATCAATTTTTTTTTTTTACTGTTTGTTATTAACTATATGATTGAAATATATTGTCAACTGACCAATTCTCATTAGTACTAGATCTTTGTGAAAAAATAGATAAACTTTCTTCACTTCGATTTTGGTTTTGCTCAAAACCACTAATATCAAAAAACTTTCTAATACTGAATCACTATTTGTAGAAAAATCTACTACCTCAATGCTAATTTGTAAGAATTCTTCATCAAATTTTTCAAAAAAAAGATCATTATTAGTATTGTCATTATTTGTGACGGGATTAACTGATGAAGCTAAATTTTTTCTTTTGATTTTTTTTTTTGGTATTGCCGATAGTTTTTGTTGAAGATCATGTCGAAGCATTCCAAGCATTCCCATTAAGGTGGGAGACATTTTGTTTCGTGATTTTGTTTTTACTAATCCCAAACTAGAGAATAGACGTTCAACAGCTGCCGAATGAGGAACAATCAAGAAAATTTTTATAGCAAACCGTCGGAGAAGTGGTGATCCTTCAGTAAAATTTTTCCAGAAAATTCTAGGATGAGTATTAATATTTTTGCAAGTATCAAAGGGAGCATCTCCATTTTTATAATTAATAAGTTCTTTTAATAAAAGGGTTGCCTCTCTTTTATCAAATCACCATCTTTTTGCCAGCTCCAATGAAGCCTTAATGATCGAATCTCCAGACATTATTTTTGATATCGCAATTTTTTTATGATTTGGTGATAAGAAAAAAGCAACGAAATAGATGCTATCAGAAAACTCACGAGCTCATTTATCTATAGCTGCCAAGGCATGATTTTTAAAACCATCAATTGAAATATTTGTTATAGAAATAGTATAGTAAATGCCTATTAATTCTTTAAAAACATCTGCTAATGTAGTTTTTCTTGATTCAAGGCGACCGATAGCATCCATGACAGGAATAAGTACTGACAGCAATGTATCGTTATCAGCAAAATGGTAACGATTAGTAACTATTTCTTGAATCTCTGTTCTAATTATAGGATAATTGTTAGTTCCACTAAGTCTAACAAATGAATTAAATGCTCTTTCGTAGGTTTTTACCCCTAGACAGACTTTTGCAAGAGAATACCATCCTGTTTCACAAAATGTTGTTAACGAATAATACAATCCTTCTTTTTTTTGCCAATCACGAAGTGCTCAGAGCCAAATATGAGAAGAGGTAAAAAAATTGACAAGTTTTTGATTATTCTTTATAACTGTGAGTAAAGGTCGAAAGGAAGAAATGTCTTTTGCAATTAGGTTTAAGACATGGAGACAGCAGCGAATTTGGACAATGTTTGGATGCTCTTCTTGGAGATTTGTTCTCATTTTAACTATAACCGAAGGACTATCAGTAACACAAGCAATAACTAAAGAATCGATAGAGACTAAACTTAATTGAAGAACCTTTTCAACTTCGTCTTTAAGAAATGCTGCAGTGTGTCAGTTTGATGATAAGTCAATGATGTCTAAAACGTATTCCTGATCTGCTTTCAAAACCATAAAACTATAGATAGAGTTTCTTGATATATCTTGCCACCCATCTAATGCGATAGTAAGATTGATAATTGATTCCATTATTTCAAACTTTTTTTCCAGGTAAGCTGAAAATGAATTATTGAGAATTTTAGAGCTTAAGGTATCAGCAGAGAGTGGTTTATAATTTGGAGCTAATTCATTAAGAAATTTAATGATATAGAGATTCTCGATAATCTTAAAAGGCAAGTTGCTATAAACAACTGCATCAAGTAGTCTTTTATCTATTTTAGCATGTTGGTCTTGCGACATTGGTTTTGTATACCAATTCATTAGACTTTCTTGACGTTTTAATTTGGAGGAAGACGAGCTACTAGTTATATTAATAACATATTAACGATTAGTTAAGTTAAAATTTTTTATATTTATGATTATTTCTATTAACATACGTAGAATCTCCATTATCAGAAGCAGAACTAATTCTAGCTTTCTTTTGAGGTTTAGATGTAGAGCTAGTAATTTTTTTAATATAATTGCTTTTTTCAGC